TGCTTTTAACTTCTCTCCCCTAACCTCTGGTGTCAGTGTTAGACTATCCACAAATGTTGAAAGAGCTAAGAATAAAGACTAATGCTTTCACCTGGACAAGTCACAAACCTGTCATCCAGGACAGTGCAGACATTCTTGCCCCGACTGGTTCCACAATATTCCTCTCCTAAGTATACTTCCATGTTTCTTGCTGAACTCAGAACGCCAACAGAAAGGATTTCTTCACCCCCATTAGGTCCACACTTCAGGTAAAGGAAGCAGGGATTTTCATCTCGGGGGCTCAGGCTGCTCTTCAGACTCACCAGATCAGGAGGGCTGAGAAGGAAATTGATAAAACATCACACAGAGAACTTTTCTGAGTAGAACCATAACCCATCTCTTCAAACTCACTTCTACTTGCCCTGAGGGTCAAGAACCTTTCCCAAGACCCACAGATGCTCCACACTGAATTCATAAAGAAGGGAGGTTTGAGGCGTCGGGCATCCTCTTCCACCTTTCCTAGACCGTGGTCATTCTACTCAAATCTCTAATTAATCGCAGTCAATTAAAAACGTTCTCAGTGTGTGAAGAAAAAACAACGATATGTCTTTTTCTAAGTTGCCGTGGTTCTTTATGGTTGGACTTGTCCCGCTCCAGTTCCCCTGAATAGAAAGTTGGCTGGTTTCGGGGTGGTGGCGAGGAGGGTTCTAAACAGGAGCCTGGGGAGGTGTTCCCGCTGACTCTAGGATCCTGAATCCGAGTTTCCAGCCCTCTCCGGCCCAGCGCGCAGCACTTGCCCGCAGCCTCGCCCACCTCCCGGCACCGCTCCCTCAGCCCACCCCAGCCGGCCCCGCGGCCTCGCTCGGCTCTCCCGTCCTCCTCCCAGCTTCTCAGCAGCGTGGCTGTCACTCGGCCCCGGCCCGGCGCACCCCGGAGCTGGCGGGGCCAGCAGCGGCTCGAAGTTCAAGTCTTGGGCACCTGGCCCAATCCGGGTAAGGAGGAGGCTTTGGGTCAGCGCCCCGCACGCCGCATCCCAGGACGAGGTCAGCGTCGGGCCGCGGTCCAGACCCGGATCTTCGATCGCGGTCTCCATTCTGTCTCCTCCAAGCCCAAGCAGCACCGGAACCTCTCTCGCGGAGCTTGCGTTTCCTTCAGTGCCGAGCGGAGGTGAAGGTTCAGTACAACTTCCGGTTCTTCCCCCCCCCCCCCCCCCCCCTTCCTCCTTCAAATCCCGGGAAACCAACCAATTTAAATGCGCATGCACATATCATCTGACTTCTAGATGTTCAAAATCTTAGCGGGATGCGATTGAGGCTGTCGCTTGTGACTTTCTCGCTCCCGTCGCAGGTGCCGTGCGCATGCGCGATACTCTGCATGGGAAAACGAAGAGGTTTCTTTTCGACGTTGGCTATAGTGACCCAGTCAGCCGACCACCGATGGTTTGGGGGCGGACGGGGCGGGTTGGGGACCCTGAGGGTAGTCCCAGAGCAGAGAGGTGCAATCTCCTTAGTTCAAGCCACTTTAAGACTAGCTCCCAATCTGAGGACCTCGGGAGAGGACGCCAGTGCCCTTCCTACGCCAGCCTGTCGAGTATAGGCTGCTCGGTCGCATTTAGAGTAATGCGACTAGGGTTGATCAAGTGTTATTCCACTCCGCACGTCACCCGATCGTGGAGCTCGCCGGTGTTTAGCGCCGCAGAATACTGTTGGGTGACAAAAGGCATTAAACAAACAGCTGAACCCATGGTAGGACTGAGATCAGGCTCCTGGGCCTCAGGTATCACTTTAGTCTGTATGTGTACCCCTGTCCAAAAATGTGTTTGTCTTCTGGCAAGAAAAAGATGATCGAATGTAATTTTCTATAGGCAGTCACCAGAGTGTATGTGAAGTGCGTTCATCAAGTTTGAAGGAGAAATCAAAGACTTAATATAAACAAAATCCAGAAATAGTAACCTTTAATTTTAAAAGGCCCACTGTGTGAGTGTTTCATTCTGTATGTTACAGGCTTGAAAGTCTTTATTCCAGCCAGCTGGGACCTAGGTGTGGCCCCGAGTGTCCAGAACACGGGTTTTTAAAGACAGATCTTAAAAGTTGAGGAACCTCCCTCAGCAGCTGCAGGACTTCGCAGAGTAAACAGTTTTAACAGAAGCTGAGATAACCTTTAGCTGGCTGAGGAGGTTCCGCACAAACAGGCAGCTAAGGTGAATGGTTAGCTGGAAGAGTTTCCGGACAAACAGTTTTAACAAAGGCTAAGATAAGTTAGCTAGGACACCCTGACCTTTGGTCCCTAGAATAGAGTTGGGTAGTTTTCCGTGGGATTCCCCATCAAGATCAGATTCAAATTATACCTGGAAGCGGCTTCAGCAGGAATACAAGATGGAGCAACCTCTGCATTGCCTTGCCCCGTCACACTGTATTTCCCGCTTCCTCTGGTCATGAATTAGGTTAGTATCTGTAGACATTCCAAAGGGAAGTACACTCTAGAAATGCTAACTTGCAGTTTTGTGCACAAGATTAATAATACCGTGTGGATTTTTACTTCCTTAAATAAGGCTAATGAATCAGAAAACGAAAGACACCTGTCATAAAGACTCCTGCCAATGAATCACCATTTCTTCATTTCCTCAAAATCTCTTACCTTTCTTCATCTCTGCTTGTCAATCTGACCCATTCTGGGAGTTTCTTTACCAAGGTCATTAGCCTAGTCTCATCGTTCGTTGCCTTATCAACCACGCTCTGTCCTCTGCTCTCGGTCCCTTCTAATGATTGATGCTGCTGACTGAACCAGCATCGCAAAGCCCGGTGAACTCTGATCCCACCTTCCTCCCGGCCTCCTCTCCCCAGAATACTGTGTTTTCCCAACAGTTTTAAAAAATAAAAATAATATAACCAAGCTTGAATCTGAGTTATAGAATGGAATTGATTCCTCTGCTACATTACACTCTTTGAAGTCTTATATCATTCCCTTGCAGTCTCAGTTAACCAGTTCCCATAGTTACTTCTCCCAGCTGCATGCTTGCTGGTATAAGGAACTGTTTTGTGCTTGTAAAGTTAAGAACAGTTCTACGGTGTGGAACTGATAAGTTGGCGAGAAGTAGCAACTTTATCACAGAAGCACAAAGCAGCAAAAAATGGTGAACATGTGGGGTTCTTCTCAAAGCCGGTGTGGTTATGGTTCAGAGCTGACCTTAATCTTAATATGTAAGGAATTGCAAAGGATTTTCTTTTTGTTTTCTCTCTTGAAATAATTAAGAATGTTTGTTAGTTGCTGGAGGTAGTGGCACATGCCTTTAGTCCCAGGACTCAAGCGGCAGAGGCAGGTGGATCTCTGAGTTCAAGGCCAGCCTGGTCTACAAAGTGAGTTCCAGTATAGCCAGTAAGTTCCAGTCTACACAGTAAGACTCTGTCTCAAAAAAAAAAAAAAATGGGGGGCTGGAGAGATGGCTCAGAGGTTAAGAGCACTGACTGTTCTTCCAGAGGTCCTGAGTTCAATTCCCAGCAACCACATGGTGGCTCTCAACCATCTGTAATAAGATCTGGTGCCCTCTTCTGGCCTGTAGACATATATGCAGGCAGAACATTGTATACATAATAAACAAATCTTTAAAAAAAAATTGTTAGAAACTTCCCACCAATAACCAATATTAAGTTAAACAGGTCAGGGTTTTGATTGCCTATTTTATGGTTATAATGTATTGATATAAGAGCTCATTATGCCTTCTAGGAGAATATTTCAAATCTGTGTTCACTGGGGCATGGTGCTACATGCCTGTTGCCCCTAGCTGCTTGGGACACAGGTGGAAGGATCCCTTAAGCCCACAAGTTAAGAGACTAAACTTGGCAACAGCAAGACTTTGTCTCAAAAAAAAAAAATGCCTTCATCTTATGAATTAACACACATTTGAAAGGTACATTTTAGAAGAGGAATTATTAATTTTCTTTATACCCTTCATTTGGTAATGCAACCATTTAGATCATCTTAATTGTTAAGTAGTGAGACCTTGGTGAATAAATATACCTGCCTTTTATCCAGGGGTATACATCCCAGCAAGATGGTTATAGGAAACTAATTTCCCTCTTGGCTGGAACCACATAGCTATACCTTCCTTCACTGGTCACAAATTTACTTGGTTACCTACACGAATTGTGTATGATGGAGTGGAAAGGACGAGGAATCAAGATGATGTTTTGTTGATAGTCCTATAAAAAAAATCAGCAAAAATGGGGGAGCAGCTCAAATAATTTCTAAATTCAGTATTATTTACACTACACACACTAACATTTTCCTTGTTTGGTAGTTCTTCCCGGTTTGTTTGTTGTGTTTTTTAGGAGGGGTAAGGAGTTTGAGACAGGATCTTATGTAGCACAGGCTGGCCTCGAACTCCTGCTCCTCCTGCATCTGCCTTTCAAGTGCTGGGATTATAAACTTGTGTCCCAAATCCCAGCTCGCTACCACTTTATTTTTTAATCTATCGATAATCCCTATGTTTTCTGCCTGCATGTGTCGGAGATAAGGTCTAAGGGAGGTGCGTTTCCTGTCCTTATTTATTCTCACTGCTGCCGCCTGGCGGCACCAGGACTCAATAACGAATACTCAACCCTCGAACCCATCAAGTCCAGGAACAGCTGAAAATAGGCTGTCCTCGCATCGCCTCCTGCTGTTTGATTTCCCGCTCTTTACCTTCAAAGCCTTCCTTAATAACTTTCAAGCCTCTCTTCAGAGATTTTCCTGGACAGAGAAACCTCACCGTAAACAAACCAAAATGCAAAGCCCTAATGGTTTGAAGGTGGGACAGGGAGGATGATTCTATCGGGAGTAAACCTAACTCAGGGGCCCTTTAAGAGTGTCCAGAGGACGAAAGAATCGCCGATGCCTCCCCGGGCTAGGGGACTGACACCAGTCGTTCACATGGTCCAGAAGGCGCCCTGAGTAGCAGCCTGGACCAAGGCATCTTCTCTAGACGTGCATCCTCGCTAGTTCCCACCCAGAGTAGCGCCGGGGGCGGGGCGCGGCATGGCGCTGGTGCGCTGCGCATGCGCAGCGGGCGCAAAGGTTTCTGCAGGCCTCAGTGGAGGCATGAAGACGGCCGCGGGGTCTGGGGAGGTCCACGTTGATGGGCGGCCGAAGCTGGGACTGTGTGTCCTCTGCGGCTTGCCGGCGGCGGGAAAGTCGACCTTCGCGCGTGCTCTGGCCCTCCGGCTGCGGCAGGAGCGGGGCTGGGCCGTGGGCGTCCTCTCCTACGACGATCTGCTGCCCCCCGCGCTCCCGGACCGCGCTGGCACACAGCTTCGGGTCAGCACCGAGTAGGTGGGGCGGGCAGGTGCGCAGACCCGGCCCAGGCAGTGGGGCTGTGGGTTGTTGACCGAGAGCCGCCCTGCATCCTGATTCAGCAGTGCCAGTGTAGGAGGGGAAGCCTGACCGGAGCTGGAGACGAGGGGAGCTGGTTAGCTCCGCTCTAGGAGACGTAGACCTGTGTCTCGAAAGTTATGTTACAGGGCTAAGGGCCATGCTCTGTAGAGGTTTTTAATGCAAGTTTGGTACGTTCACATATTGTTTAGTCTATGCAGTGGAGCTTTAAGATAAGGCCTAGTTATGTTGCCGGGGTTGGTCCCAAACTCCAGGGCTCAAGGATCATCCTGACACCGCCTCTCATGTATCTGGGACTACAGGTGCCACCTCCAAGTCCTATGTCAGAGTGAAGTTTTGAGTTTAGTTTACAAGGTGAACGTTCTAGTCAGATACCTCCTGATAACAATCCTTTGGGTAGTTTATCCCAAGACAAAAGAAAGGATCTCTTAAAAAAAAAAAAAAAAAAAAAAAAGGTTCTGCTTATAGCTGGTTAAAACCAGATTTTGTGGGACTTCAGCTCTGTACCATTTTGGAACTCCCCATGAGCATAAAGAATAAAAGTGATAACAAAATTGCTAGGTCCCTCCAAGGAAAATTTACCAGATGAAGGGTCTGGTCTGCCACTAGTATTGGAAAAGGTGGTGCTTTCTTGGTTGACAGTCAGATGGAGTAATAAGCTTGACTTGTGTGTGCCAAGTATATACTTCTTAATTCCTGCCTTACATCCCAGTGAGGTGAACCCGATAGAAGCACATGGAAGCAGACCACATGGTGGAGTAGAGTCCAGTCTCCAGTTGTATACTTACTCTAAAGCAGTATCTTTTGAGATCTTCTGAAATCTTAAATTGTTCCTTTTGATGGTTAGTGCTTATGTGTAGACAAGTCACATGAATTAAAGGCAAATAGAATGACTCCACTCTGTAAGTATATACAAAGAAAAAAATATACAAAGATGCATGTATTTGGTATGTGAAAAAATTCTGGATATCTCCATCAGAATTTGTCTGCTGCTTCAGTTTTGGTTGTGGGGGGAGGGAAGCAGTATTGTAATTGGGAGTTACTTGTATGGTAGTAGTCTCACCACTTTGGATAAAGATAAAAGTTATTGATATGGATTGTTTTTCCTTCACCTTATTACTGTGAATAATACTCTCCCCCTCCAGATCTCACTTGGTCACTGTGATTAGAAAATCTCCCCCCTTTAGGACGTGGCACAAATTTCCTTCTCAGTGGGTTTATCTGGTGTACTTTTATGTGGACAAGGCAGGAGAAGAATTCATCTCCTCTCCTTTTGTATTTCCTCCAGGCTTGACTTCAGAACTATAGTGCTCCCCACCACCCCTCCCAAAACAAGATGACTTGTATTCTCAAGCTCCTTATTTCCTCCTATCTGTTTCTGCCATCTCTCCCAATCTCACAGTCCAGTTGTTCTTAGCCTGAGGTCTTTGCATCTTGACCAAAGTCCCTTCCAACTGACTTATCTTGCTGTCGGTGTCCCTTTTCATTTCAAGGACAAACCAACATTGTTATATCTTAGGTTGGTTTAGCTCAGCAGGATATTGATTTTGGCTCCTTTGTTCTGCTATATGGTAGAGGGTATTCATGTTCATGTATTCACTCATTCATTCATTCACTTAAAATACATTTCTGGAATGCCTGTCAGCCTGTCTGCTGGAGGCTGGGTGATCTAGCAGGAAGAGATATGAAGGTGTGCATAGATATCTGATGTAAGCCCTGTTAGAGTAAGGACAATATACAGAGTGGGGCTGGACTGCCTTCTACATGATTGAATCTGAGAAGGCTTCACACAGCCCCGGAGGCATTGGGGATATTCCAGGCAGAGGGTTCAGGACCTATGAAGACAGGAAGGTATGAGAAACAAGGCATCTGTTGAGAACTTCCAATGTTTCAGTATTGTGAGCTGAAATTTTACATGAGGACAGGATGACCAGCCTGCTGTCCAAAGCCTAAACTAAATTTCAATTCTTTGTTGTTTTTTGTAGCCATCCCAATGGAAAATGTTTCGACAAGAACTGTTAAAGCACCTGGAATGCTTTCTTGTGGCGGTCATTAGTGGGGGTCAGATGTCTGCCCCACCCAACAGGAGTGAAGCCGTGTGGGAAGATTTTATAACTTGCTTAAAGAACCAGTATTTGATCATTTCTGCAGCTCATGAGGCCCAGCCTTGCCACCTCTTGGCAAAAACTGCTGTTTCTAGACCTTTGTTTTTGGTATTAGATGACAACTTTTATTACCAAAGTATGAGATATGAAGTCTACCAACTGGCTCGGAAATGTAATTAAAGCATTCTTTTCTTTTTTTTTTTTTTTAAAGATTTATTTTATTTATTATGTATACAGTGTTCTGCCTGCATGTGTCTTTGCAGGCCAGAAGAGGGCACCAGATCTAATTGCAGGTGGTTGTGAGCCACCATGTGGTTTCTGGGAATTGAACTCAGGACCTCTGGAAGAGCAGCCAGTGCTCTTAACCACTGAGCCATCTCCCCAGCCCAGCATTATTTTCTTATACATGGAAACATCGATTCGCATATGTCAAATCACAGCTGCCTTTAGTGAGCATTTAATTGGATTAGGTTTATATGGATTTTATAATATGGATTTAATATATATTAAAGTGAGTGTTCAGTATTGCAAATGGAGTTTTTCCTGCTTCATCTGGGTCTAGTATATATTTATTTCACATTTCTGGAGAGACAGACTGGTAACTTGACCATTTTAAACCTGTTTTCAGATTCACTAGGCTTTTGCCAGCTCTTTTTAGATTGTCCCCTGGAAACGTGTTTGCTGAGGAATGGCCAGAGACCCCAGCCACTGCCTAATGAGACCATCCACCTCATGGAGAAAAAGATAGAAAAGCCTGACCCTGAGAAAAATGCCTGGGAACACAACAGCCTCACAATTCAGAGTTCAGCATGTTCTTTGGAGGCCAGGTATCCTGCTCTAAGCCTTCTTTGTGCTCTTCTGTGGGTACCCTGTAAAACATGCTTAACGGTATGGGACTGGCCATTCTCCCACAGGCCTTGGAGAGTTGTGTGGAGCAACAGACTAAATTGAGAAAGGTCACCAAACTTGTAATAGCTGAGATTTGAATCCAAGTTTTTTGTTTTGTTTTGTTTTTTATAAATGTCTGCTTTTAACTGTTCAAATTGTAATGTCTCAGGCTGGGGAGATAACTCAGTGGGTAAAGCGCTCACTGCATTGGAGTTCAAATCACCAGCACTCATGTAAAGTTGGGCATAGCTACTCACATCTATGATCCCAGCACTGGGTGGAGGTGGTGCCTGCTGACCAGCCAGTCTAGTAAGAGACCCTGTCTTTTGGTATTCTTTTTTTAAGTGATTTTTTTATTTTATTTATTTATTTGGTTTTTCAAGACAGGGTTTCTCTGTTGTAGCCCTAGCTGTCCTGGAACTTACTTTGTAGACCAGGCTGGCCTTGAACTCACAGAGATCCACCTGCCTCTGCTTCTCAAGTGGAGGGATTAAAGGCATGCGCCACCACACTGGGCTCTGTCCTTTGGTGTTCTTGTTAAAGCTGCCTAAAGAGGCTGTGCAGTGTTTTTGTACAGATCTATGAGCTGGAGGTGCAGCTCAGTAGTCCAGTGCCTGCAGCCTGTGCAAAGCCATAGCTTGAACCCTAGCACTCCCCAAAAGTTTTAAGTGTAATAAAACTAATAATGGATTTTGATTTGTCCTAAAACTCTCTATAGTTACCTGCCCGTGTGTGTGTGTGTGTGTGTGTGTGTGTGTGTGTGTGTGTGTGTGTGTGTGTGTGTGCAGCCTGTGGACTCTGGTATCATTTTCCATTGGTGATATATCTGGAGAATTTTGGAACAATTTATTTCTCTTAGAAATTTCATGAATGATAGAAATGTTCTCTGCTTTGTCTAGTATGGGAGCAGCTAGCCATGAGTGTTATTGAACACTTAAATGTATTTAATGCAACTGAATACCTGAGTTGTTAATTTAATATAGCCTCATATGGCTACAAACTGTGCTGTTGAACAGTGTAGCTCTTAAGATACACTGTGCATGTTTCTTTAGTTTAATTTTTAAGCTTTAATTTCCTCACTTTCCTCCCCACTCCCATTGTTACTCCCCTCCCCCATTCCTTCTCAAATCTACAGCCTCTTTATTATTGTCATATATACATATATATGTATGTATATTTACACACAGTATATAAATACAACCTGCTGAGTCTGTTTAGTGTTGATTGTATGTATGTGATTTCAGGGCTCACAACTTGGTATTGGATAACCAATTAGGGGGCTCATCCCTAGGGAAAGCGCGCTCGCTCTCTCTCTCTCTCTCTCTCTCTCTCTCTCTCTCTCTCTCTCTCTCTCTCTCTCTCAGCAGTCATTAATCACCTATAGTTCTTTGTCTAGGGACGGGTCCCATTAGAATTCCTCCTTCCAAGTCAGCGTGTCTATTTGTGTTGTCATAGTTCAGGTCTTATTTAAGCAGGTAAATTGTCGAGATAGTCACAGATATGGCTTCTATGTCATTGCTAGGAGATATAATCTCACAGCACATTTTCTGGTCCACTGGCTCTTACGATCTTTCTGTCTCTTCTATGATGTTTACCTGAACTTTGAGTACAGGAATTGTGTTGTAGATGAGGCACCCCATGACTGCTTGTTGTCTGCATTTTGAGCACTTGTAATGGCCTCAATTGGCTGCAAAGAGAAATGTCTTTGATGAGGGGTGAAAGCTGCACTTATACATGGATATAAGGACAAGTATTTAGAATGCTATTGGGAAATTATGCTGGTTTACTAAAGTGGTGGTAGTAGGTTTTCTTCTAAGGTCCATGGCCTCACTAGTCCCAGGTTTCCAGTATCAGACAGATTTCCTTCTGGTTGAGTGGGCCTGAAGTCCAATTAAGACAGTTGTTGGGTACTGCCAAGAAATGAGTGCCGCTACTGCACCTTTAGGGATATTGTGCCATGCTGGTTTTAAGCTAAATTTATTCTTTGAATGTCTTTAAACAGATTTAACAGTACATTTTCTATATAGTTTATAAATTTCACATACCTAAAACAAAACAGAACTATCACTTAGATTACGATTGTTTATACAGTTCATGAAATAAGCCACTGGTGAGATTTCCAGTTTTCCAAAACAGGGTCTCAGTATGTAGACTAGGCTGGCCCTGAACTCATGATCCTGCTTCAGCCTCCCAAGTCCTGGGATTGTAGATAGGTGTGTGTACATCATCAATGGATTGCTGTCCTTTCTGGAGCTCTTGTGTATGTTTTTTCCTTTGGCAGCAAGTAGTTGATTGAGGTATTATTAGAATGGTACCAGTTGATCTCCACTGCCTTGACACCAGTGAGATGTGGGCCAGCAGAATGTGGGTCTCTGTAGCCACTTTCAGCCCTACTGTAATGTGCAGTTTTGTCCCAGGTCTTATGAACTTGGTCAGGTTATTTGTGCGTATGCAATAGCCACAGGGCAATTGAAGCAGGTAGTGTCGAGTCTGGAGTCCCATATTACAAACTGAGAAGTAATCTAATAAATGTAACTTTCCCTGGCTTCTCTAAAGTAATAACTACTTGGCACATACTACATGTTGGCTGTGGTTCTGGACACTTTACAGTGCCATTCCATCTTCATAACCTTTTAAGGGTAAAAAATGCATAAAAATTCCATTTTATGCTGGGATAACTGAGGCCCAGGTAAATCAAGTAACATGCCCAGGAAGTGAGTGGCAGAACCATGGGACTGAGTGCAGTCACATTCTAGAGCCTGAACTCCTCCAAATGAGAAATATGAAGGTGAAAATGTTACATTGTACACTCCCTGGCTTATAACTTCAGTTCTGATCCCTGTACTCTAAGTAAAACCCAACTTCTGCTCATGACTTACATGATAACCTAATAACTACCCCACCACCATTGCAAACCAGCCTCCTGTGCTCACTCTGTGGGCACAAAGAACTTGTTCTTCTTTCCAGGCCCTGGTGTTTGTAGTCCAGTTTGCCCTAACTGCCTGGCTCAGCCGTCTAACTGGAGTGAATAATGGTTATCTGGCCACCCAGTCTCTCAGCACAATCACTGTATTGTCTTTACTTAGCCACTTATCACTGTCCAGTATTATGTTTGTGCTCAGTGGTTTACTTGTCTCACTCCATTCCATTTTCAGGATTGGAGTGGTTAGGCACTTTGTTATACCCCCAGATTAGCAGTTTCACTGATGTAGCTTTATAGTGTTTACCTATGAGATGCTCAATATAGATTTACTGAATGAATCAATTCTACCTGAATTCTCTAGGGACCATTGGCTAGTGAGGAAATTTGTTAATCCTTATCTAGTAAATGAGCAGAAGCCAGAAGTAAACACCATCTTTCTTGAGGGACTAGGAGTTTTAAAAGCCTACAGTCCAGGATGTAATAGGGGAAGAGACTGCTTATTGGCAAGAGTCTTAAAAAATTAGCTTTTATGAGGTAGGAATGGCTTGCAATTTGTTTTGAGTGAGCTTCACTTAACGTTCTACAAGTGGAAGATGGCTTCCAAATCACTTAGTTTACTCCCTTTCAATAAGGACCTTGGATGACAGTTTTGCTCTCCTGCATTCAACCTAGTATTATTGATGCAGGTTCTTTAAAAAGCAAATGTTTTATAGGAAGGATTGATTATATTTCATCTCACTTTCTCTGTAGCCTGGAGGTGACTGATTTGTTACTTACTGCTTTGGAAAACCCCATAAAATGTGCTGAGGACAATACGGAACAAAAGGTAAATGCTCCAGTTAGACTTGGTGCACATGAGAAGGAAGAACTCTTTTGCAGGGAGACAGCAAGAGAAAAGTATAAGATGGTCTGTTAGCAGAATGGCCCTGCACCAGCCTTTGGCTTCTGACATCCAGTCAGTGAGCTGCTGAGGGCCAGTGCCAGCCAGTCAAAGACCCATGGTGAATGTTCAGAAATGCTGAACCTTATATTGGTGACTTAAAGTGGGCAATAATGGAAGCATTTACACCATCAAAGCACAGAAACACTACATATAGGTTGGAGGAAGTTGTTCTTTCTAGAAAGCCAGTTATTGCACACTCACCAGCATACCTACTTTACAACTAGTCAGGATTCATTTGGATTTTCTGCGAGAGAAAACGAACAGAAAAGCCACTGTGGCTTTTCTTTTGGTCCCTTCAAATGAGTCTATACCTTGGTCATTTACTTTATAAACCATTCCCAATAACAATATCTATATCACACAGGAAACAGACAGACTTATTTGTTCTACTAACATCCTCCATAAAGCTGATGAGACATTCCGAAGAACCATCTCTCAGACAATGAAGGAAGCCAAAGGTATGTTGACTGGTCTGTACTGTCTAGATGCTGGGCTGCTCTTTCTTGCTGTCACCAGACACCAGAGTTTATATCAGCATTTCCGTTTAACACTTGCTGTTTGGTTACATAGCTAGACCGTCCCCTGGAACTAAGTATTTAACCATTTCATTCATTTTTATTGAATGGCCTCTTCTTTTCATTAGACTTTTTCTTAGATACCAGGGAATCAATAGGAAGCAGAACATTTTAGTGAGGAGACAGACAAAAAGGTAATTAATTATATGAATATGTCAGTCCCTTGAAGTAGAGCAGTAGATTGATTTTTAAGAGTAATTAGGGTGTTAGAGAGGTGGCTTAGGGGTTAAGGGTACTCCAGGGTCAGGGGTAAGACAAGCATGGGATTTGAACAAGGTCACTGTATTATAAATATGAATAAGATTTAAAAAGAAATAATAATGTTTCAGCTATCTGGTAATTATAGCTTTTTCAATAGTTGCTTTAGGTCTTGAGTATTTAACTCCTTGCTATGCTTAAATTTGTTTTAAAAACAAAACAGAGCGTGGCAGTGGTGGTGTATGCCTTTAATCCCAGCATTTGGGAGGCAGAGGCAGGCAGATCTCAGTGAGTTCAAGGCCAGCCTGGTCTACAAAGTGAGTTCCAGGACAACCAGGACTATTACACAAACTGTCTCGAAAAACAAACAAAAGAACAAAAAGAAAAAAGAAAACAGCAGCTAACATTTATTTAACTCCTTTGATGTGCTACTCTTTACAATCATGTAATTTTATAAATGAGAACAATGGAGATTCACGGTGAATCAAGTAACTTTCCCAAAGCTGAACAGCTGCTAAATTTGGGGGCAACCTGGACAAAGTTAATTCTGATTCCAGTCTGTTGTTATGCTCCCTGCCTTTATTGTCACTTTCATAACAGCTGGGGACACTGAAAAGGACGGTATGTTAACCACACCATAGTTTTCACATTCTCTTTATGCATGAGCATACATAGATTTTTACATCAGAAATGGTGTGTGATACAGTGTATAAATGCAGGCACATGTGGAAACAAGTTTCACAAACACCTCTTCATATTTAATGGAATGTTTTATTTTCTCATTTTAGAATACCTGTTGCCACTCATTAATAAATTACAATCCAAAACTTCTAACACAGGATTGGAACAGAAATGCTAGTGTAAATTAGAACAGAGCAGAAACCATCCTAGCTTTTTCTCAGCCATTTGCCTCTTGTTCTGTTTTAGTCCCAAATCACTCACCACTCCTACCCACTGGGAAAATGGAGACTTTTCTGGAGGGCAGAGGAGTCAGTACTAGTTTCTAAATGTGTGCTTGAATAAAACTGAAAATTCCATTTCTCTGCCATCAAGAAAGTGAGATGACAGCCCTGACATGGGATGAAACTCTTGCAAATATATATATAAATATAAATATAGAGAGAGCTCTTTACTATGCAGTAACATACTGGTAACCCAATCTTAAAATGGACAAATATCTACATAGACATCTTTTTCCCAAGGGAGATACAGAGATAACCAATATTCAAATGAAGATGTGTTTAAAATTTAGTAACCAGCGCGGCAAAATACAGATCAAAACCATAGAAGATAGCAATTAATAGCCATTAGAATGGTCAGAACGAGAAGGTCCAAGACTTGTTGAAGATGTGGACAAATCAGAACCCTCCCATCATACTGATGGAAATAGAAAATGATCCTGCTGCTTTGGAAACAGCCAGGCAGTCCTTCTAATGTCATTACCATGTGGCCCAGCTATTCTGCTCCATGGTGATAGGTTTGAGAGAAATGAAAACATAATGTTGATACAAAGCCAGTTTATAGCAGAACTATTCATGACAGCCAAAAGGTAGAAACACCCCAACCGCCAGCACCTGACAAATGGATAAATACAATGAGGTCGCTCATACAGTGGAATGTTGTGTAGCTGTAAATAGGACTAGAATACTGATCAGGATAGAACATGGGGAACCTTGAAAACATCCAAACTAAAAGTGGTCATATGAATATCCAGAACTGGAAATCACAACAAAAGGGTTAGTGGTGGGTAGAGAAGTGGGGTAGAGAAGGGCAACTGCCAGAGGTTTTGCTTTTAATGTTGTGAAATGTTCATGTTGTGAAAATGTTCTAAAATTAACTGTGCTGATAATTGCACATATGTGAATATTCTAAAAACTTTTTTTTTGGGGGGGGGGGGAACAGGGTAGCTCTGGCTGTCCTGGAACTCTTTGTAGACTAGGCTGGCCTGAACTCACATATCTACCTGCCTCTGCCTCCCCAGTACTGGGATTGAAAGAGTATGCCACTATGCAATTTAAACCATTACATTTTGATACATTTATGGTGAGTTATATCTCAATAAAGCTAATTTCAGATGCGCAGTAACACTACCCATATGGCAGTGCCTGGTAGCACATTTCCATCATCATAGAAAAGTTACTTAGGACAACTGTTCAAATGTATTATTTAAAAATCCAAATTGTCATTTTATTTTTCAAAGCAAGAGATGGTAAAATAGGTACCTTGGCTCAAAAATAGTCCACTGTGGCACTGCAAGCCTTTAGTCCTGGCACTTGAGAGGCAGAAGCATGCCAGCTATGTGAGTTTAGGGTCAGCTTGTAGTGAAGTCCAGGCCAGCCAGTGCTACACATTAATGTCTCAAAAAACAGGCACCCAAACAAAAAGCACAAAAACATCCTTTTAGGGGGGCTGGAGAGATGGGTCAGTAGTTAAGAGCACTTGCTATTTTTGCAGAAGACCTGTGTTCAGTTCCCAGCACTGACATGGTGGTTCACAACCATCTCTAACTCTAAGAATGAGAGATCTTATGCCCTCTTTTGGCCTCTGTGAGCATCAGGCATGGTAGTGGTGCACATATATACATGCAGGAAAAACATTCAAATATAAAATATAAAAATAAATAAAATCTTAAAAATATATACCCTTTCAGGTTTGTCTTTTTCTGCTCATACACCAGATTAATTAAACTGCCTGTGGCTCTTGTTTTAGATGACTTCTCTAGATCACATTAATGTTATTTCTTGTCCATAAGTTATTACAATGCATCCTGATTGTTTATTGGAGAATCTGGCCTGTTTGATGTAATCAGATGGCAGTAGGCAGCTCAGACTGGCTTACAAGAATAATTTGAGAATATCTTTGATTTTAGATGAGCAAATACCTCTTAATAACTTGAAGCGTCTAGCAGAAGAACTTAACAAGCTCAAAGCAGATTTTTTGGAAGACCTAAGACGAGGAAACAGAAAATATCTGTGCTTTCAGCACACCACCGACTTATCAGATGTTATTTCTTCTTTTTGTGATGAGAGAGATACTGTTGTGCAGAAGTATTTTTCAAAGCAACATTAAACTTTCTGAATTTCTAATCAAATGTCTGACTTGGGTAAACTTTTGCAAACAATTTTGTATGGCTGGGTGTTTTCTAGACCAATACTGTGAACTGCCAAAGACCATTCTGAACATAAAAACAACCCAAAATGTCTATTTTCAAAGTTCAGTTTTACATGCCAGAAATTACTTCAGAGAGCTGGTTGTCAAATGTGACATAGATACCTGATGTAAGAGGCAGCCTTCCTCACTGATGTGCCATACTGGAGGGTACAGCAGGTTAAGCTGATTTGAGTAATGAGGAATGTATTAGTTACTGGCTTACAACTATGACGAAATACCTGACAGAAAACCACTTGAAGGAGGAATGATTTATTTGAGCTCATAGCTTCAGGAGGTGGACATCTGGTGGGGAAGGCATGGCTGCTGGACTGGCTGTGTGCACAGTGGCAGAAGTTTGTGGCTGTCATCTCTCACACTGTGGACAAGGAAACAGAGCTCTAGACCAGAATCCAAGGCAGATAAAACCTTCAAGGCCTGGCCTAGTGACTGCTTCCACCAAGAAGTGCCACATCCCCAAGGGTCTAGAAAACCAACCTTCTGACTGCCAACCAAGTGAACAACAGCCTACAGGGCACGTTTCTCACTCAAACTATGACAATTAGAAATGAGTTTAGACCTATAGAGCTCTTTTGTTGTAAACTCATAACTCTTTCCATAATGGACTCTAGAAATTCAAACCAGCCAGCCATAAAATCCTTTATTAATATTTTATGTATCACAGATTACTAAAAAAAAATCAATTTGATTCTAGTTTTAAAAAAATCAAAGTCATTAGAAAGTGTTAATTTTTTATTCATATATTACAAAAGCAAAGCATTATTCACAATAGGAACTACATACTAGATATAGTTACTTCAGCATGAAACTGCTTTCTTGATCCCTAAATAATATAATGTACCTTACAACTATAATGCAAGATTTACACCTCGTGTAGACAACATGTCCCATACATCCAGGCATCAACAAAAACAAGTTCTAGAAAGCAAATGCCTACCCCCTAAGACTAATGAAAACATCTTTAGCAGGGAATTTAATTTTTTCTAATAATTCTTCATTTGATAAGTATTTTTGCAGAACTTACAAGAGTTACTTCTGTTTATTTTTTGTTTCTCTTTTTAAGTAATATTCCCTTTGTCAAATAATTCTGCAGATGAATGGCAAACACATTTCTAAAATGAAACAGCACTAGAACTACCCAATGGAAAATTTTCAAAATAAAAGTCTAGTCTTCACTTGAATGTCAAGAAGTTGTAGCTACACATTACATTAGTAAAATCTGAAATAAAATTATTCCGTTAATCTCTTCACAGTTTCTTAAAAAAATATTAGTGGAGATAAGTTACCAACTTTAAAAATCTAAACTTATGTTCACTGAACAAAAATAAATTTAGTTTCAGAACATTGCCTGTTAATGGCAAAGTACTATAAATAGTGCATGTTAAACTTTTCTCAACTCATTTCTATAAAACATTTGGTTAAAAATAAAATGAGGAACATATTTAATATTTAAGGAAAGAATCTAACATCTTTCCTAATACAGAATTTAACTCAGAATATTTAAGCAAAATCCTAAATCTTTAAAAGTACAATTTCAAAAAAGTTTCTAAGGTAGATTTGCTTCAAAATTTTAGTGCATTTATTTGTAGCTTTACACATCAACACCTTTGGAAGACCAACTGTGCTCTTTATAGTATTAGAAAATTAGGATTTTTTTCCTTCTAGCTTGTAATTATGAAAAGTCTTTTCCATGTTTAAAGTGAAATGTACTTTCAACACATTCATCTTTAGTTGTTAGGAAAACAGGATGCATATGTCACTGTTTGGCCCAGAGTGTAAAGATGATAAAGCTGGCTTTAAGGTGAGCATTTGGCTTCTGAGACTGCAGGGATGCCCAGCCTGGCAGGGAACTCTGTGCTCTAGCCATCTTCCTGCTGCATCTTCCCATGCAGCTGGGACTACAGGTACACAGCACCACACTGGGCTTCTTCCTCTCTCAGGGAAGCTTTCATTGTCTATTTGGGGGTATTGCTTTTAGTTGGATCAAACTTTAAAAATAGCAAAGTTTCCAAACAACAACCTGTCTCCTGGCAGCTGATAATCACTACAGTCAAGTTATGTATTTAGAAAGTGTTGCACTAAAACTAATCTAACCAGTGAGTGATTTAAGCAACAGACCAAACTCACTTTCTAGAAAGTTAGGGTCACAAGAGAAAGTGTCTTCCGTGCTATTCTTTAACAGTGCAGTCGGGATGAGCCAACACTGGTAAAGCAAGCACAGGCACCCTCTGAATGGCTTTCGAGTGCTGGGAGGGAGGGCACAGATCCCTTAACAGGGCACTTGGGGCTTAATGGGTAGACACCATCAATTTCCCTCTTATTTACTGTAAGAGGCATTTTTGGTTAATAAATACTTGACAGGATATTTCTTTAAGAAGCCAATTAGGAATATTTTTAAAATATTAACCAAATTAAAAATGAAAATCTTGCAAAGTGCACAGAAACCAAGAGGAAGCGACAGTGTTTTATTGTTCTGCCAGGTCCTCCTCAGAGTAAGCTCATTACACAATACAAAAACAACAGCTTCCTATGTCAAACGAACCTCTAATTATCAACAAATTAAATGTCACATTTAAATGTGCTTTGTGTTAATTTTTTATCCTTTCCCACTGTGGTGACGGTCCCACTGTAACCTTACATGGCCTACGCCGCAGAGACTTGAAAGTAGGATCTGTTTAGGCATGTTCTCATTTTCATAGCCATTTCTTCCTCATCACATTGTTCTGTGTTTCTATACCCACCTTTCTTGGAAATTATGGGCAGAAGGCAGAAAAGAAACTTTGGAGATAGTTTTGAAGCATCTTTATAAGACGGATGAACCCCACTTCCTCTTTGGTCATCAAAGACTAGGAAGAATAAGATTATCAGTGTGGGTGTCAGTCTTACCTGACACCAATAATAGCTGAGTGCAGAATTTCAGTGGAAGATTCAGATTGAAAAGGCATCTAGCACTCTGATATATTTACCTGTGGCTTTAAAACAATAGTTAAAAATATATATAAAAACAATGAAAAATTAACATGTTTAAACTAGACATTAAATGAACAGATATCTCCAATATCAAACACAATTTTCAACTTAGCCCCAAATTTCAACTTCCAGGACTTGCATTTTTATAATTTAAATTTGAAAAGAATTGTTTTATATTTCCCCTTGAAGAGAAAGATTTATTACACTGAAATAACTGTACTGTTTTTGGTTGAAATGAAACAAATTCAACTTAAGTGAATGAAAATAGCATTTTAATTAAGAGCAAATCTAAAGGCAGTTTCTCTATAAACACTGAAATGTTGTAAAAGGTTTTACGAGAAGTTTATTGTGCCATTTTGAAATATGGCAGAAAGACTATTTAGCTGTAGTATATATATATTTATCAAGAGTACAGATAACCCTGGGAGTCCTATGGACAAGTGTAGGAAACTGAACACCTGGTAAGATTCCAACTGTACTTCAACTCTTACATGTCTAAATGAAAAAGATATCAATGCATCTAACTATCTAATGCATAAATAACCCTGACCAGACTTTTATGAAAAGTTAACAAAACCCCTTTTCACTATCAAATTACTATTTTATGAATAGAATATATAAATTTTAAATTAACAGATACTGTATTAGGGATGATCAAAACTAAAGACCAAACTACAAAACCCCCAAAGGCCAAACCAAGTGAGAACAATGTTGATTGTGTTCAGTGCTGGTTATGTTGCCCTCTTGCAAAATGACAGGCAAAATCATACTTGTTTTTACATTTGCATCCACATATATTACACTGAAAAGGGTTTTCATACCCATGGCATCCCATGTGAATAGTGTAAAGGATATTGTCTGCAAAGTACATATCACAGTGCTGGCAGTGGTGTAGAAGCTGAGGATCCTGGACCGGCAGGGTTGGAGCTGGAGTGCTTGGCTGGCTGTTTCCTATGCTGGGGGTACTGGTGTGGGCACTTGGTTCACTGCTCGGCCCTGCCACTGGACTGTAGTTCCTCTGACTGTGCGATGGCCGAGGCTCTGGGCTGGTGGGGGAGGAGCTCTGAGGAATACTTGCTGACACAGCAGAGACGACTGCTTGGGCAGAGGGCTGCTGAATCATGAAAGGCTTTTCATCAGGGCAGGGAACTACATCAGGGGAGGCAGGGTTTTGGTTTTCCGGTGGCAAGCTGGACAACTGTCCTGCTAAAGTAGAGAGCTGATTCAAAGGGTTGTCAACCATGAGTTCTTGGGGGTCCCTTGGCAGGCCACCAGTTGGTGTAGTTTTCGCCAAAGTTTCATAGGAGTCAGTCTGAATATTTGGGATTTCGTGGGTAAAATCATTAAGGTAGTCTGGTTTCTGGACCACCATGGAAGGTGGACTTAAGTTGATTAGTGCTCTTCTGCTATATCCCAGATTGCTTGTCTTCTTCTGTAAAACCCCCCACATTTTCTTACTGCTTAAGGAAGACCTGGTACCTTTAATTGGTACCATTTTATGTTTGCGCCTTCGATGGTGGGACAGGTTACTTCGGTCACTGCAGCGGAAGGAACACAATTCACATTTGTATGGTTTTTCCCCAGTATGTGAACGCATGTGGGCTTCCAGATGGCGCTCATAAGCAGATGCAAATGGACATAAATGACACCTGTGAGGTTTCTCACCTGTTCAAGAGAGAAATGGGAGAAACTGCAAGAGTAGCTCATTTATAAGACATTTTATGTTTGTCCATCGGATATGGGAATTGATACAAAAAATAAAATGCTTTTCAGAAATTCATAATTGTATAATAGGTTAGTAAAATCTATAAAGAAACCTAAGAACTGAAATAAGGCTTAAGAATTCATTAGCAACAACTTGTGACAACATAGATTCTATTTACTATGAAAACCATTACAGTTTCAGCTGGCACTTGGAAAAAAAGAAATATTCCCCACATAATAAAGATTTTATCAACAGTATGTTTCAAAGTTTATGTTCACAGATCTATGCATACTTTTTTTCCTCAAGGAGAAAAAAAAAACAGCAACCCCGCCTCCTTTAAAAGAAGTCTTTATGTTAACTTACATGACTTATGGGATATACCTTTTAAAATTGCCAGGACTCCTACTCCACTTTCCTAGTCTTCTAGTTCAGGACTGTGGTAGCTTGAACGTAACTGGCCTCCACAATCTTATAGGGAGTGGCACTATTAGGAGGTGTGGCTTTGTTGGAGTAGGTGTGGCCTTGTTGGGGGAAGTGTGTCATTGTGGGGTGGGCTCTGAGGTCTCATATATGCTCAAGATACCACCCAGTGTCGAAGCCCACTTCCTGTTGCCTTCTGATCAAGATGTACCAAGCACCACATGCTGCAATGCTCCCTGCCATGATGATAATGGACTGAACCTCTGAAACTGTAAGTGAGCCACCTCAATAAAATGTTTTCCTTGTAAGAGTTTTGCCGTGGTCATGATGTCTCTTCACAGCAATTGAAACCCTAAGACAGAAGTGTTGTACTCGCTGGTTTTGTGTCAACTTGACACAAGCTAGAGTCATCAAAGTGGAAGGAGCCTCAGTTGAGGAAATGCCTCTATAAGATCCAGCTGTAATTCATTTTCTCATTTAGTGATCAATGGGGGAGGGCCCAGCCCATGGTGGGTGGTACCATCCCTGGGCTAGTGGTCCTGGGTTCTGTAAGAAAGCAGGCTGAGCAAACCAGGGGAAGCAAGCCAGTAAGCAACACCCCTCCATGGCCTCTACATCAGCTCCTGCTTCTGGGATCCTGCCTTGTTTGAGTTCCTGTCCTGACTTCCTTCAGTGATGAACAGCAATGCTGAAGGGTAAGCCAAATAAACTCTTTCCTCCCCAACTTGCTTTTTGGTCATGATGTTTCATTGCGGCAATAGAAACCCTAAGACAAATTCATACCAGCATAGTGGGGTAGTGCTATAACAAACCTGAGCATGTTTGGGGAAGGATTATGGAAGGACTTTGGAACTTAGGGCTAGAAAAGCCACTGAGTGCTGAAACCTCAGTGGGATGGTTTGTAGGAGCTTGGAAGATAAGAATGTTGGGAGCAGCTCTCTCTTTCCTTCTGCTCTCACTCAGAGGCTGCCTCTGCACCTCCCCCCAATAAACTTCCCACATGAGCTCTGTTGCATGCTGTGACTTTGTGGTGCCCCATGGCTCCAATGTCACCTTCTGCCATTAAACTACTCCATTGGTGCTGTGACTCTGGCAGGTCCTCCTGATGGCTCCTCCTGCCCACCGGCAATCTGAGACATACCAGTCTACCTACATTTTCCAATTAACCCATCACTGAGCACTTCACCCAACACCAGCAACAACTGGTAAGTCCCCCTTCTCCTGGTCAGCATAAACACTTCCCTGGATCTGGGGAAGAGACTGTTGAGTTTCTAGCACCCCTCTGATATTCTTGGAGGTGGAGGGACCCCCAGCCACAGTCTCACTTGGACTCTTAGCCCTTGGCCCCTGCTCAGTACATGATGACTCACTGGACAGCTCGTGCCCACTCAATCCAATCCTCTCTGGATCCCTGGGATGCCAGGACATTCAGGCTTTGGATCTTCTTCCTCTACCTCACTCATGGGAACTTCATCCTCCACCATACCTCCAAGCTCCCCCTGGATACCTTTTGGAAAACCTCAGACACCTAGCACCTGACTTAAGGGCTTTTAAACTTATCCGCCTTTCAGTCAAATCTGGCCCCAATACCCCTCAGATAATCAATTCAGATGGCCACCTACCAGCATCCTAGACTTTGCAACTTCTGCCAGTAATCAGGTAGATGGCAGGGGGTACCCTGTGTCCAAGCTTTCTCTCATCTTCACGCCAAGCCCTCACTCTGTTCTTTCTCTTCCCCCACTCAACTACTACTAGCTCTGAGGCCTGAAATAGAGGAGCCTCCACCACTCTTGACCCTGCTAACGAGCCTCCACCACTCTTGACCCTGCTAACGAGCCTCCACCTTACCAACCTCAATGCACAACTCCTCCTCTGCCAGCTCCTTCAGTCTCCTCTCCCTCCTCTCCAGCAATGATTCGCTCTAACCATCCCACTCTGGCACCCACTTTCACTCCACCAGCAGCCTACAGTCCCCCTGTTACTCACTCCTACTGTTGTGGGACCCCCCTTTACCTCTCTCTAGCCAGCCTAACCTGGCCACAGTTCTCCCTTTGTGGGAGGTTGCCAGGGTGGATGGCCTGGTCAAGATACATGTCCCCTTTTCATTAAGTGAACTCTCTCAAACAGAAAACCAACCAAACAAACAAACTGGGGTCTTATACTCTGCTTCTTTCATTAAAGAATTCCAATATATCACCCAAGCCTACTTCCTCACCTTCTTATAATAAGCAAAAGAGAGGAATGTTAGTTTCTGCCACTGCAGCAGAATCAGCAGCAGCCCGCCTCTGTCGCCAAAGCAGTTCCGTCACTACCTGTCACCAGGTGCCTTTCCACTGTCAGCTGTGCGACATGCACACCCTTTAAAAGCCATCAGGCACAGCTTACTCTCTTTTTACCTCTTGTCTCCCATTTCTTTTGCCTCTTTCTCCATGTCTCTCCTTTCCTCTCCTGCCTCTTCTTTTCTCTCTTGCTTCTCTTCCTCTTGTCTGTTTGCCTCTGTCAAGCCCCCACTCCTACTTGGCCTTTCACACTGATGCTCTCCCCCTCCCCCAATAAACCTCGTGCACTAACTCTGTTGGGAGTGGTGTGTTTGCTTAGTGGCATACCTTGGCAGGGCCTGCCGAAAGGTACCCACTATCGCCTCGCTTTCTTTTTATTTATCCTTTCATTGGTGCCGAGACAACAGGCTCTCCTGGCATTTAATATGGCCATGCTGGGACCCTATCAATCTGCAATAGATCCACTCTCTTCCACCTACAACAGACCTGCTTTCTCGTTCACCCACAGCTTTGCCTCCACTCAATACTGGCAATGAGTCTCTGGCGGTGTCACCTGCCTCTGACCATTCCCCTAGATGTGAGGCTTCAGTCCTCTCCTCCCCTTCTGGCTTTTCTCGAAGTCCTGGTACTAGGTGACCATGTCTCTCAGGCTCGGAGCTCTTAGCCCCATTCTTGTATGACACCATACTGAATAGCCTGTGCCTGCTCTGTTTGGCCCTCCTCTGAGTCCTGGGGACACCTCTGGCTCTCAGGTTTTGAACTTCTCTCTGCCTCACCTTTGGGAACTGTCATACACACCTCCTCGCACCAATTGGGATGTCTTTTGGAGACCCACTGACCACTCCTTTCAAATCAAATCTGGCCTCAGTATATCTTGGACCAAGCTGCCAGGGAACCAAGAAAGAATTCTCCACTTTCTTTCTTTGTCTTTGCTCCAAGACTGCTTGTTTCTGTCTGCTCTCCCTCTCTAAACTTCATAAATGTCCTGTCTGTTTGCTGCAACATGGGAGTCAGAGAGGCCAGCTTCGTCTTGCTCAGCACACACCGGTTCTTCCCTGCAGTATCTGCTGATCTAACCTTCAGTAAGGTATGTACTTACTGTACTACATTTGTCTGTGACTAACATGTTTCCAAATATTAGAGTCTGATTCTTCCTATGTGGACATGTGTGCTTGTCTGGCTTCTGCAGCCTACTGTAACCATGTGGACTTCTCTTCTGCTCATTCCCCTCTCCCAGCAGCCTGAGAGACCCACAGTTTAAGCACTAGCCTGCTGTGTTCTCCATGTGACTCTGGCTCTTGCAGCCTGCTGACCTACGTAAACACCTCCCTTCTCTTCTGCTCCTTCCTGTTCTCACCTTGCAGCCAGACTGCAGAACCACTGTGCTATCTGTTTCCTACCACAGTCCTGCAGCTCACTTCGACTCTCAGCCTCCCCTTGGAACACAGTCTCAGTGTTCCACTCTGCAACCCTCTCTCTCTTCCTCGATGAACTCAGACTTTATTACAACATCTTGGCCTCAGCATGAATCAATGGCCAAAATTGGCGAACTTGATTTCCAAATTCTCAGGAATTGTTAATTGCTACTGCCACAAATGATCCCCAAAATCTTACACCTAAACTTGCTCTTATACTTCCAAAGTCCCTAACCTCTAAGGCTCTACTTCCCCACTCCTAAAAATCTTTGATCTCTGATTTCTTTTCACTCTGCTCTCACACACACAATAAAATAGTATCTTAAGATTATGCTGTAAACTCTTATCTCAGGATTTGTAAATTACTCATTGGGTATGGTTTAAAATATATAATTTGTAACAAAATTTGGCTTTAAGCTTACAACAAAAGGCTTATAATTAAAATTCTATACATGGGTGTATATATATGTGATTCAACTCCTGTTTAAGATGTGTGTGTGTGTGTGTGTGTGTGTGTGTGTGTGTGTGTACACATATATGACCTGGATTTAACTCTATATATATGTGAATGTAAGCTGGATTTAACTCTACATGTATATGTATGTAACTTGGATTCAACTCTGCATATATGTGCATGTAACTACTGTTGAGGAAAACATGTTTTAAACAGTAACCATGTGGCTCTCCTCCATCTTGGCTGGTGACATCATGATATAAGCAGCCATGTGGCTGGCAACCATCTTTACTACGGTTAGACAGTACATATCATGTGACACTTCTTAGTCCTAATGAGCTCTCTGTTCATTGTGTCTCCTTTGAGACGAAGGAAGCAACAAGTCTCAAATATTGGTATGGACTTTTGAATGATGATAGAAATATAAAGTTATTTGTTACAACATACTGTATATGTGATTCAACTCTGGTTTAAAATATACTCTATCGTGTTAAAATTTTAAGATTATAAAGATCTATTCAGATTAACAAAAGCTGACTTAGAGATTTGCACCTAAGTACTCATGTCTTTGCCAAGTGTTCAACACCAAGCTTCTAGAAAATTTAGACAAGCGGCAACACATATTTGATAAGTAAGATATATGTTCTACAATGGAGTTTCTGGTCCCCCTAGAGGGTCCTTTTCCCAGGGCTGGGCATTTGGGCAGGGGCCCCCATGGCATGTCAAGGGCAATGCTGGCCTCTGGGCTCCCTCAGTCCCTGCTCACAGGCCCCCTTTTCTCCTGTTCCCATTTTGGTCCTGGGGATCTATCCCCTGTCAATTTTCCTTGCTTTCTCAGGAGACAGCCTTAGCAGTTTGGAACAAACTTGTTCCATTTTCACTCCATGGAATGGCTATTTAGGTTTCTTTACTGAACCCACTATCTATGATTAAAAAGTTTTATTTTGATAGTAAAAGAGCCCCAATTCAAAATTAGTTATTTTTAAGGCTAAATCTAACAGGGATGGAAAATGGAATGTAAAATCCTATTCATATAAAAGCTATTAACTTATTGTAAACTGTTAAGGATAATTAAGAAATGCAAGTTAATGGTCAGCCACCTTAATTAACAGGAATGGAATGTAAAGTCCTAGTCTTATGAAAGCTGCTAATGAATTGTAGACTGTTAAGGAACATAAGTTAATAGTCATCTTATAAATGACCAAATTCTTTAATTATAGTCATGCTAAATACTAATATAATTACAGGAATAAGTCTTACTTAGTCTCCTGTGTTTTCAAAGTTAAGCTTAACATAAGTAACTAGAAACAAAGTTTGTCTATTCAGATATGCCTATTAGATAGACAGTCCTCAAATGCTTTAGATGTCTGAGAATACGGCATTTAAAAATGTTTAATAAAAAAGCTTTTCATGATAGAGAGACATGCCAGCTCCTGGCAGCACTGCTATCTCCTCCAAAGAAGATGGATGGGCACAGAAGAACCTCCACCTGGAGCTTGCTTTAAATGTGGCAAATGCCTGGCCACTAGGCAAAAAAAAACAAAAAACAAAAAACTGCCTTTCACCTCAACTGTTGCCAAGACCCTGTCTAGACTGTGGACAATCAGGACATTGAGGGATCAACTGCCCCACTTTGCCTAGACTAGGTAGGCTGGTCCTCCCAACATTCCTACTCCACAGGAAAGTCTGTCAGATCTTCTAGATCCTGGCAGCCGAAGACTGATGCTACCCTGAGACCTCTGCCCCAACGACCACGGAGGAACCTGGGGTAGATGTGGAGGTAGCCAGTAAGTCTCTGTCATTTCTAATAGATTTGGTCTATTGGTTTACACTTCTGCTTACTCAAGTAAAAGTTATCCTTCTCAGAACTCTGATGGTGTTTGACAACTAGGCTAGTAGCTTTGTCAGTTTAACAGCAGCAGCCAAGGCTTCAGCTGCCTTCTCAGTTCTCCGTGTGTGTAAAATTCAGGCCACAGGCCTCTCTCTCCTAAAGCTACTACTAAGTCTAGACACAGTTTACCTTGATACCAGACTCAGAAGAGACAAACTCACAGAACAGATTTCAGTGTAACTTTTTGCCATTCCTTTATTGAAAGGAACTTGCTTTATAATGACTGCTCTCAGTAATCAACCGCCTGTATCTCCTGGTGAATTAAATAGAAAGGAGGTGTTTTAAGGTATAGTGTTTCTGTGAAGATATGAAAGCTTAAGTTGAGAATCTAAGAAATATTTTAGGGTCTAAGAAGGTGTTTTAAGGTGTGTAAATGCAAGCTATAAATGTCTGAGAATGAAAAAGCTTAAGTGGTGATAAAAAGAAAGTGATTTAAGGTGTATAAAAAAATGAAATGTTTTGCTATACTACTGTTATATTAAGACTCCAAAGTTAATAGTCTTAACATTAATCAAGGAAATTCTGATAAGCTATTAATCTAGCTCTGGCAGAGTACCACTACTATTATCAGACACAAACTAAAGATTTTAAATTCTCTTTGATTGTTTTCTAAGTATAGATTTAAAAGTGCTTCTCACCTGTGCTAAAAACATCTGTCTAATCTATATACATCTATATACATGGATAGAGGAAAGAGTTAATGCTTTGAACCAGAATCATTTTGGGGTCCCCTATGACTCAAAGGCATGAGTCTACTGCCTTTTATACAATGTGGATTTCAGTACAGATTACAAACAGTGGGAATGCTAATGTGTCTAAAACTTACCTCTTTTTGTAAACTCAAAAAATTCTTGTAAGCTCCAGGGAGTCAACTTGAATCCACCTCAGACAGGTTATCAAATGGACTCCAGATAAGTACTGTCAATCAACAGCCTAAGTTTATCCACCTACTGCCTGTTCCTGAGGGTGGGATCTCACCTACCTTCCCCTGGTCTTGGGACTCCACTCCCTTAATTACTGGGACCTAAGAAAAAATTTCCTCCCCAAACTTAACTGTATCTTCTGCTCTGACAATATCTTGTCAGGTCCTCTCAAAATCTGCATTCACTGAGCCTGGACAGCAGTGAAACAGCCAGCTATACCAGGACTTGGCCAGCATCCCATCCTTCTCAGATCCCCTCAAGATGCCAATGCCCCCAGACTTCAGGAAGCAGTCTAGAGAACACGGTGCCCTCCATTCCCACCTCACCAGCTACCCCTTCCTATTTCCTCACCTTTTTATACTAAACAAAAGAGAGGATTGTTAGCATTCAGGCATTTACACTGGCCTGCTCTTAGGGACCTAGTAGGACATGTCATCAGCAACAGCCAAGATGTGCCACTGTAGCTGCTGCAGCCATTAAGTAGAGCACTCTTCCTATGCACATGTGCTATATCCCCATTTTAAAGGTAGCCCTTCTCACCCACCCTCTCTCTCTTTCCTTCTGCTCTCACCCCCCCCCACCCCAATAAACCTCCCACATGAGAAAAAAAAATGTTGAGAGGAGTGCAGAAGATTGAGACCTGGCTTGTGAAATTTCAGAGGGAAGATTAAAGACTCTACCAGGGCTGTTTGCTATTTTAAGATTCTGTGGTTCTGGTTAGCTGGGGCTAAAGAATCAGCTGTGATTAACAAGATACCAGAATTACTAAAGTGAAACCTTTACATTATTGGGACAATTGATGCCAGAGCTAAGAAATTAGTGGTGATTAAGAGGAGACCAGCATCACTGAGGTGAAATCTGGAAGTGTTTCCTGAGAGCACAGAGAAGCAGTGTTTCAGAGGCAGCTAAAGTTGTACCTCGTGGTGGCAGCCAGACTTGGTAATGTCTAAGTCACCCAGGTGGTACTAGTTTTGAAGGCATGAAGGAGTCATGGAGAGCAGCTGAGGCTTTGGCAATATGAGCGGCCAGGAGAGGTCGTTGGTGAGGCCTCAGTGGCAGTTGAAGGCCTAGGACTGAAGGGGTCATAAAAAGGAGATGAGGCTTGGCACCCTAAGGAGAGCCTATGAGAGGCTGTTGATGAAAGTGCAGCCCGGTTGCAGCAGAAGACCTCAGCATTTTGGAGATGCCAGTACCATAGCATGATCACCAAGAACAGCAGCAGCAGCGGAGTGGAGCCAGCTAAAGCCTAGAAGACAGGCCATATGTGCTGCAAAGGGCAGAGCCAGAGAAGTGACCCAAGCCCTTTGCAGGAGTCCAGAAGATCACAGTGAATCCCAGATAATTGGACATTGAGTTATTTATATTGTTGGAGTTTGGTTTTGCTTCATTCAGACTGTGACAATGCCCTGGTTCTTCCCTCTTGAAGAAGGTATCTAATTTAATTTTGATTTTTAAAGGAGCCCACAGCTGAAAGACTTGAACTTTTAAAAGAGATTGGATATTCTAAAGAGGCTGGAAATGTAATGTGTTTGAATTTGTAAAGACTGTGGAACTTTTAAAGTTTATTTATGATTTTAATGTGGGATCTTGGGGATGAATAAGAAAGAAAGGGTTGTGGCTTAATAGTGATGTGTTTGTGTGTCAAGTTGACAAGGGGTCAGTTGTACTGGCTGTGTTTGTATGTCAACTTGACACAAGCTAGAGTCATCAGAGGAAAGAGCCTCAGCTGAGGAAATACCTCCATGGCATCCATCTGGAAGATATTTTCTCAATTAGTGATCAATGTGGAGGGGCCCAGCCCATGGTGGGTGGTGCAATCCCTGGGCTGGTGGTCCTTTGTTTCTATAAGAAAGCAGGCTGAGTAAGCCAGGGGAAGCAAGCCAGTAAGCAGCACCCTTCCATGGCCTCTGCATCAGCTCCTGCCTCCAGGACCCTGACCTGTTTGAGTTCCTGTCCTAACTTTCTTCAATGATGAACAATTCTGAAGTGTAAGCCAAATAAATTCCTCAACTTGCTTTTTGGTCATGGTGTTTCATCACAGCAGTAGAAACTCTAAGACAAGGACCAATTGTATTTAAAGTCCAAACTCTCCAAATATGTAAAACTATCATTTAGCATGTGAAACTGAGAGTCAATTGACAAGGACAGAGCTCCTACCACATTCCAAATTCCCTGCTAGCTCTGGGGGCGCAAAGACGGCCTTTGGATGTCCTCAGGAAGCTTTCCAGGCCACCATGTAATAAACGAGCACAGACTGCTAGGGAGCACACAGGAAAAATACCTGGGCTTGGGTGAGGGTAAGGAATAGTTAGGAAGATTTCTCCAAAGAGTGGCTAGAGAGACATGGGCTTAGCAAGTATACTCTGCAACTGTACAGAAGCCTTTCTCTTTTCTAGAATTTAAACATTCTTGTGAAGAAAAAGACAAAACATTAACCCTAGTAATAACCTCTCCCACCCTAGAATAGGAAGACAATGCAAGATTGTGTAGATCAAGCATGAAAATGGAGGATCAAGCTCTCCAATGAGCCTGTTTCCAGTATTTGTATGCCTTTAAGCCAGTTTTGTAAAAAATGGAGTTAGTACCCAACAAACCTTCATCAAACTTGCTTTGAACAATCAGCACTACGTGGACTTGCAGGACACGGCCCCTCTCCAGCTGTTTCTCCATTACCTGTGTGGATCCTGATGTGCTCAATGAGCCGGGCCGTCCCTTTGCTGGCATAGTTGCAGTAGCGACACTTGAGCTTCCCATCAAAGGTCCTTTCAAACCCGTCTACTAACATTCCTGAGTTTTCATCCAGGGAAACTTCAACAGATGGGTGATCGAGTCCATTCTGATCACCATCTGTTCCAGCTATAAACACAAGCAAAAGAAATCAGGCACCTCAGAATCAACTCAGTTCAGCATTTTACTCAAGGGGTTGAAGATCTTCCACAAACTGATAGCTTGCTTCCCAAGAATTTAATTCACAAAACAATTCAGACTTCTTGAACTGGGACAAATTTTCTACAAAAATACAAACTATATTCTAAGAACCTTTAAAGAGGACTTCAAATTACTTACATATAAATTTTATCAACTCTTAATAACATGCTTTTGTAGAAAGCAGATAAAACAGAGAGGAATGAAGAGATTCCTTAAGGTCACAGTCACACACAGGTGTTTGATACTGGCCATGGTAACAATTTTAATTAGCAGTTGTTACAGCTCTAAATTACTAAATTTCTTTTTGTCTAAAAATAATTATTGTATACCCTGTTAGAGTCATTTGTGTTCGAGGTTTTGAGTTACATTTAAGATCTTAAAATTCTAATTAAGCACATCAAGGAAAACAAGGTATCTGACAGCTCTGAATGTAAGGACTATAAGAATTTCAGAACTGAAATGTTTCAGTGTTTACATTGCATATGAACAGACAAACTTTGTATAGAGAAGTGGAAGGAGCACGTACTTGTAATTAGGAACTACACATGTTGGGGTATACTATACCCTGGTTTCTTGAATCCCACTCCTGGAATCTGTTCACATTAGTATTAAGAAGCAAAATTTGTATTCCTTCTTCTTCATGGGAACAGGACTTTAGCTCAACGCCAAGAGGCACAGTCCTCACATGCTCAGTTCAAATACTATTCCTTTTCTTCTGCCTTTCAAGTCCAGGAAATTAGTCCAAAAGGAATCAACTGAAGAGTTCAGGCTTGTGGTCTCCCATTCTCCCACAGTTTTCTTAAGACCCTGATGCTCACATTTTGATGTCTGCATCAATTACTTGGGAGATCTTAATAAAATAAACTTGAATCACTAGACCCAGGGTAGGACCTGGTGCTTATGTTTCTAACAAAATTTCTGGAGGTGACACCTGATCACTGTTGCCAGTCCCTGCGTCTTCATGGCTTACAAGATCTAGGTCAGAGACCAGCAAATGTTTTCTCCAGGGCTGGGATGGCAAACACTTAAAGCCAGATGGCTTTGTTCCAACACCCCACCCCTGCTGCTGTCCCGTAAAAGCCGCTATAGAAAATAAGCAAGTTGGGGATGATTGACTGTACCTCACTGTATAGCACCTGCCTAATGTATGCAGCAGATGTTGATCCCCAGCAGCACAAACAAGGTAGAAACATGTAAAGAAGTGAGCATGTATGTGTTCCAAGAAAACTTGATTATGAACAATGAAATACAATGTCATATAATTTTCATGTGTTATTCTTTTTGTATTTTTTTCCAATCATTTCTAATGATACAAAGCCATAGGAAAGCAGTTATAGGAGGTCCATGGGTGGTACTCTGCTGACCCTGAAATAGGTTAAGAACAGTGTATGTGATCCACAAGCTAGAGAAACTTTACCTCTAACAGGCTCACCAAATCTTTGCTTCATCTAATTTAGTTTCTCTTCTTAAACAGGTAAATGTGGACAGCCTTCTTTCACTTACAGAGAAAAAAATCTCTAGTTGGGGCTCAGGTCTAACCTATGTTGCTTGATGGGCAAATTCTGTGAACAAATTCTCTGGGTTCTTTGAATCAACTGTCAGCTAACAGAACATGAAGGACAGACAAGGGATTTAGAAGCCCTAATCTTTCAACAAGACTATATAATAGTTCTCTACACTACATTAAATCATTGTCCCATAGCAAAACTCTGCATGTTAAAGAAGTGAGAAAATGCCCGTGTCTTTCTAGAAAAAGAAGAGATTGCTCCACGCTAGTGGATAGTGGTGCACATGAATGGAGAGCTCTGCATGAACAAGAACACATTTACAAAGGCGAACTTTTCAGTAGTAGTAAAATAAGTCTACCTCCCTGAAGAGGCTCTGCTTCTTTGTCCCCACTGACCGATCCCGAAATCATGTTCACATGATGCGTCTGCTGGGTCAGGTATTCCTGGAAATCTTTCACAAAGTCCAAAGGCTCTGGTTTCTTTTCACCCATCTTGGTGCTTTTTCTTTCTTTCTTTTAAGTTGAAAATTTGTTATATCTAGGGAACAAGGAAATAGAGAACCCTATTTAAATAGAGAACCTAAACTTAAGAACCCTTAGATTTACACTATTTAAGAATACAGTACAAAATAAAATATAGACAAAAACTAGTTTGTATAAGACATTGTTACACAAAACAACAAAAGACAAAAGCTGTCTTTAAATACTCTATAATCTATCTAGAAAATTGAAGACATACAAAACAGTGAGAAACATATTTAATAATTAAACTGAGTAATAGAAAATGGAAACAAATTACCAAGAGAGAAAAATAACTTATAACAGCCAAATACTGACAATTACCCAAATGACCCCCCAATAGTACCACATGTAAATTGGTTGTGACATGATCACACAATAGCCTATAGCAGTGAAAATAAGCAAACTTCATCTGCATGCAGCAACACAGATGCATCTCACCATCACACTGTTGAGCACCAGAAGCCAGACAAAGATTAGTATATGACCTATAGAAGACCAGAGAAAACTAAGGGCCAGTGCCAGAGATAAGGAGAATGTAACCCTTGCTTGCTAGGGCAGACAGAATTTAGTACTGAAAGGGGGCAAAAAAGGAGTTTCTGGGTTGCTGGTTGCCTTCCACTTCTTCATATCAGTGCTGAGTTCATGACCTATGCACTCTGACAATCCAATAGGCCAAGCTTTAAGATTTATAAGCTTTTCTATATACATGTTAGATTTCAAGAAAAAGCTAAGCAAGCAACAGAGAACTGAGTGATCTTTGCATACATACTGCTAACCATTCGAGATGAAAAATTACTCATTAAATAATTTGAGTAAAAAAAAAAAAAATTCCTGAGAAACCTGTCTACACATTTGAGTTGGCTATACAGGAATTGAAATGAAAGTGTATGCAGATTCAGCTTTAAACATGTCAAATAATTTTTTAGTCATTATACTGATTTATTTATTCTTCTACCAGCAATGGATAAGAATAGTTGATTCACACACTCAATAACACTTGGTTTTTTCACTGTGGCCACTCTGGAAGGTATGTGGGACTATCACACCAGTTTTGACTTATAGTCATTAATGATTAATGAAGTTGTATGAGTGGCTACTCATATTCTTTTGAGTAATGTTTATTAGTTTTCCCACAGATTGTATGTCTTTTCTAAATAAGAATTTATATACATACGTGTGTGTGTGTGTGTGTGTGTGTGTGTGTGTGTGTGTGTGTGTGTATGTGTGTGTGTGTATTTGGTTTTTCACGACAGGGTTTCTCTGTGTAACAATCCTGGCTGTCAGGACCTCACTTTGTAGACCAGGCTAGCCTTGAACTCACAGAGATCCGCCTGCCTTTGTCTCCCGAGTGCTGGGATTAAAGGCATGTGCCACCATGGCTTGGCTTCAAGATTTTTTCTGAAAGCAAGTGACAGTACAACTAATGTAAATCACAATAGTACCAACACTAAATAATAATCAAAAGAAAATGAGACTGGGCCAAAACCAGAGTTCATTTGGATAAGATTTTCACCTACATTTTAAATTAACAATTAATTTACAAAATGTAATCATTGGGATGTTTGAATACAAGAAATGTATGTGTTAGTCTTTGTCTCCAAGTCTTGTGCTGAGCATTTTAAGATATTTTCAATTGAAAATAGAATATTTATACAATATATTGTTTCAGTTTCCCCTATCCTAACTCAATTCACACTCTCCCAAATCACACACTCTCTCTCTCTCTCTGCCCCCCCTCAGAATACAAACAAGCATCTAAAAAAATAGTAAAGATAAAATAAAAATAGAAGAGCCAAAGAAAAAGCACAAGAAACACATATATAGTGCAGAGACATACATGTTCACACATACAGAAATCCCATAAAGACACAACACCAGAAACCATAATATATAGGCAAAAGACCTATAAGGAAAAATAAATTAATTAATAAAATAAAAACATTGCCCAGACAAAACATTGAGGCAAGGAACCTCCAAAAATGCCTCTGAGTTCATTTTGTATCGGCCATCTACTTCTGGGCATGGGGTCTGTCTTCGAGAGTGGCTTGTATCACCAGT